GTGACATGGGATGCATATGAGATGCAAGTTTTGGTCTGATAGTGAGAAAAATCAGCAGGAAAGGGAAAGAAAAGAGAAGGATGTTCTGTTGACTGAGCTGGAGAAAAAGGCAAGATTTTCTTGGGAGAGAGGTTGAGTTCGTAGAGGCCATGCCTGAGGTATATTAAAAGAAAAAGGAAAAGTCTCCCCATCTAAATGCTTTTAAGGACGGAACTAGAACAGAGCGGAATATTTATTCATTTCTGGATCAGGGAGGACGACCGGGGACGACCGGGGACGAGCGGGATTTAATAAGGATGCAAAGAGGAGTGAGGCCGCTAGAGGGAGCGCGGACCCGGGAAACCAGAGTGGGCGGCGGCTGGCTGAGCGGGAGGGAGTTGAGTGGGGAGCCCCGCGACTGTTGTTAGGTTAGTTTCAAAGGGACACAGTTATTCAGGGGTGAGGGCTGGGGGAAGTACTGCCCATGCCCTGAGGGGACATGCCCAGGAATCTGTGGTCGGGACCCTCCTCCCCCACAAGAAGTGACTGAAAAGATGAAACACACACTAAGGCGAGTTCATGCAGGAACGGAATAGATCTCGTCACATCCGAGTTAAATTAGGACGATTTGGGAGCATTATTTCAAATTTTTAAATACCGCAAGATGACAGAAATGTCTTAAACACCCCCGTTTGAGAGAAGATGCAGTAGTCATGCTCCCCACCCTCTAGTGGTAAACTGTCTGAATTAACCTCCTCCATGGGACTCAGGAGGCTGCTGGGCTGAGGGCCTGCCTTCCACAGTGTCTTTTTCTAACACCTTGAATCCTCATTAAAGGTCCCTCACCCCCAGGAAAAACCCCACAAGGTTTTTGTGCACTAGGTTCTGGGCACATAATTGCCCCTGGGCCTGAGAATATGCTTGAGCTTCTAAGTTTTGTTGGTGTGGAGCTGGTGCCATAGTATTATTCTGTGTCCTAGTTACTCTGACGGTGAGAAAGAGGGACCAGTGAGCTACCTGGGGATGGATTAAGTCAACTTTGCAGCTGCTGGAGGAACTGCTTAGGTGTCAGGGGGGACCAGGCTAGTCCCCTGCCTCTGGGCATAACAGCCTTGCCCCTGACTCTGGGGGGACACTCCCCAAGCTCAGGCTCTCCACCTTCCTCATCCTCACCAGGCCTGAGGTCTCCCCACAGTCCCTCCTACTGTCACCCCTTCGAGGTCTGGAGAGGCGGCTCCCCCCAGGCCAGGGAGAGGAGGCGGGGGCAGGTTCCTCACCCCTGCCCACACTTTGGGAAGCTGAAGTTACCGGGAGAGTGTGTGTCCCGACCCTTCCCTTCACACCCTGACCTTATTCCACCAAAGCAAGACAGAGGACACTCTCTCCAGCCCATCCCAAGAGGTCACAGAGTTTTTTTCAGGTGGGGAGGCCCAGCCAGAGCCCTGGGAGCCGGTTGGGGGGAATGGAGAACTGACCTTGTGGCCAGTGGATATTCCTTAGGAACGGGCATGTCCAGGGAAATGGACAAAGCTAGGTTCCTTTGGAGTGAGACCTCCTAGCTAAGAATGAGTAGAATAGGACATTGGAAAGGGAAGAATTTTGGATTTTTCATTTTCTTGCATTTTAATGTAAAAGAAAGTGTATTTAAATTTTGCTCTTTGTTACTTTTGATATTAGGAGGGGGAGTAGGTTCAAACTTAGAGCAGTTTTTGGTTGCTGGAATTGAATTATTTGGTATTTTATGGTACCAGCTCATGCTTGTTTAGTCACCTGCGGACGAGCTGTCCTGAGCAGCGGGACTCAGGTGACTGGGGAGAGGAAACGAGTTTTAGGGCACAGAATGGTCGTGGAGTCCATTTCTGTCCTATCTGGACCCCACTGAGAGGCCTTGGGGGGCAAAAGTAATCTGGCCACCCCACTGATTCCAGGAAGATATACAAAGAATAGTGGTGAGAACTTGTTACTTTATTTCTTCATCTGAAAATGGGGATAGCATTTTTTTGTTTTGTTTTTTTGCAAGGATTGAGTAAATATGCGTAAAGCCCTTAGAAACTTATTTCCCTATTTCCTGTTTGGAAATCTATTTCTTATTTCCTCCTGCCATACAGTAGGGGCTATACGAATCAGTGGGCCGTATGATGTGGCCACTTTGTAGGTCACAAATGGCCAAATATCTGTGATTGGGAGACTGCTCTGATGCACAGCTGGTCTGACCCCATCCCCCACCCCCTGCCCCCACCCCTCCAGATGTACATGTGGTTGGTTGCAGATCATAGGCCCACCTGTTAAGCCCAAAGTGTTGAGAGAGGAGAAGGGTACTCCGTGTTGAGGGTTTTCCCTCTTAGATGTCCCTTCCCCACAAGAGGAGCAAGTTGGAGGGCATACTTCCCCACCTATTTTCCCATTTGTTTCTTACTCTCCTTTGGTGGAAGAGTAGATGATCTTATGGGTGAGAACCCCAGAGTAGCTTCTCCAGCCCTGTCTCTTGTTCAGTTTGTGAATTGGGGGTGGGGTGAGGTGGGGTGGGGTGGGGTGGGAGGATGGGGTCAGAGTAGAAGGCCCCTTTGGCCTGGGGCCTCCAATCCAGTTTTAACAGAGAGCCCTGCCTTTGGGTTTATAGAACATCTGTCCAGCCATTAGTAAGGTGGATATTTACTTTGATCCCCATTATGTAATGACCTTCATGTCATTTTTTGCATTGGTCTGAACTGAAGGTCAGAGGATGAGTCTGGGGCTTTTGATCTCCAAGACACTTTCATTTTCCTAATCTAATCTTCTCAAGGAACTTCTCCAATTCTTTCCTAAACTCCATAATCTCTCACCACCCTCTTCTGTCATTTTGGCAAGAATTTATGACACATCTCAAGCTACAGCTTGTGAAAGACCCATCATAGAACTTTCCATCTAGGTTAGGAGATGTTTTTGGTGGAGCTGTGAGTGTGTCTCTGTATATTGGAGGGGAGGGTGGGTAAACTAGGGAAAATGGGCAGGTGGAAACTTTCTATACCAGGAGAAAGCAAAGGAAGGAAGGAGGTTATTTTATTTGCCTCCAGCTCTGAACACACTTCCAGATTTTCCTGGGCTGGGGCAGCACCAGGCCTGCATTGCAGTAGCTCAGTCACTCTGTTGGGCTTCTGAGTACATCTTTTTATATGTTCTGGGGGTAGGACAATAGATATTGGAGGTGGTTCTGGAATTGGGAAAACTCAGTCACCCACCTGTCTTTCTTTATTCACACTCAGAACACTTCACTTCTGACACTTCTGGTTACCAGTGTGTGTGAATTTTCTCCCACCAGGCAATTCCGTGACATCAGCTAGGTGTCCTGATTCAACTTCCCTCTGACCCTGTCAGGTCCCACAGGGAAGGGCTCAGTCCCACAAGACTGTCCCCCTTCAGTTGCCAATTGCAAGTCTAGGCTATCACCTGTGCTTCTGACCGATCAGCTATAAATCAGAACTTTCCCGAGACCCTTCCTTTGGGTTTAATTAATTTGCCAGAGTGGCTCACAGAACTCAGGGAAACACTTGCTTACGTTTCGCAGTGTATTAAAGGATATGATAAAGGCTGTAGATGAACAGCCAGATGAAGAGATACTTAGGGCAAAGTTTGGGAGGGTCCCGAGGGCAGGTGCTTCTGTCCCAGTGCAGTTGGGACAGGTCTCGGTGTTTGGTTGTGTTCACCAACCTGGAAGCTCTTAGAACCTCAAAGAATTTAAGTAAAAAAAACCCCGAAAACCTCATAGTATTGGGATTTTATGGAGCCTTTATTATGTAGGCATGATCAATTATTAACTGTTTCCAGCCCCTCTCCCCTCTCTGGTGAATTGAGGGGTGTGGCTGAAAATTCCAAGCTTCTAATCCTGGCTTGGTCTTTCTGGTGACCAGCCCCCTTCCAGGAGCCATCCAAGAGCCCACTGGAGTCACCTCATTAGAACAAAAGATGCTCCTTTTGCTCTCATCAGTTAGGAATCTACAAGCCATCTTAGGAGCCTTGTGTCAGGGATGGGTCAAAGACCAAATGTCAGAACAAGGGATGTTCCTAGTGTGCTTATCAATTAGGAAATTACAGGCTTTTGAAGCTTTGTGCCAGGAAGGGGGGAGCAGAGACCATTATATCTGTATTCTATTATCTCACAGTTTCCTTTCTGCTTATCCTATCTCCTCTTGAGCGGGCAGTCTTCCTTCCATTTGAAAGACAGAACGAGATTCTTATGTTCCCATTTTCTTCTTTCTCCACTGAGTCCCACGTGGCTTTACAGTGAACACTGGCCAGGGCTGGGGGAGTTTGGCACACATGAGGTAGAGGAGCACGGCATGTGTAGGCCCTTGGTGGATGTTTGGTGAGTGGGTCAATGGGAGCCACCCACCCTGAGGCGAAGCAGCGGTCTTGGCAGATGGCGATGCGGAGGAAGAAAGGCGGAGAGAAGTCAAGAGGGCCCCGGACGGGACCCTGGGACGAAGAGCGCGCAGTCAGGAAATGTGCCAGGAAAGGAATGCGGCGCTCGGAGAGCCGGTCGAGTACAGCGCATTGGAAGGTCAGCGAGGAGAAGGTTTCTAGAAGTGGTAACTGTGTCCAGTTCTGCAGAGATAGCCAGGAGAGTAGGGACCAGAAATAGCCACCGGGCTTGTTGCTGTCGGTGATTTGGGGCTGGCGGGTGTGAAAAGGCAGACGGCAGGGGGGTGAGGGAGCATGGAGGCAGTGGGCATGAGGAGGACGAGGCACAGCTTGAGGGGAGTCAAGACCTCGCCGAGGATGTTTTGGGATGTGGAGACTTGAACAGGTTTGTAAGCTGAGGAGAGGTTTAAAATCAGAGCGACGGGGTAACTCAGGAAGAATCCGACTAGAGCCGGGGCCTCCAGCCTTGCTTCCTGGCCCAACAAAGCCACCACAGAGCCAAGCTTGGGGTGCAGCGCTTTAATAAGGAATGTGAGGGGCTGAGAGCTGGCGGTCGGGGCGAGCGGAGTGTGGGTGCTGTGGACACCGGCTTTGGCCCAGCCTGGGATTGGGCCCCCTTATCACTAGGGCCTCGTGACTTCATAGGCATGAGGGAGTAGGCTTTTCACATAGTTCACGGTCTCTTTCACGGTTTTGTCCAGATTCTTCCCGATTTTATGGCCGAGCTCGGCCAGTGTTCCCTCTGGGGTGGTTGCTGGGAAATATTGGGAAAGAAATGTCAAGGTGAGGCCAGTGCCCCCCCTGCCTCCCCCACACTCCAGCCGTGGCTTTCCATGGTGCCGTCACAGGTGGTCAGTGGGTCCTCTGAGGCTCATTTACCTTTAATTCTTGTTCCCCTGCAGCTTCCTTATTCTTCCTAACCCCAACTTTTCCCCCCAAGGGGGTGTCGGGCCCTTGCCTTTTTGTGTTACTTGCCCTCCCTCCCAGCTTCTTCCCCTCGGCCTTGGCTCCTGTCAGCCCTCAGAGTGAGTTCCGTAGTTCCTTCTGACTGAGGGGCAGCGTTTCTGAAACTGGCCTCCGGGGGGATGGGGTGAAGCAGCTCGAGCTTTTGACTCTTTGGTCTCCTGGTAGATTTGATCACATCTTCCTCTTCAAAACCCAGCTCTTCGCTGGAAATGGGAGTTTCCTCAGAAGAGTTTTCAGTGGAGACATGGTTCTTTTCAGGAATCAGCTGCGTAGCTGGACTGAGGACTTAGAGGGGATGACGGGTAGGGAAAGAGCTCACGGTAAGAAACAGCCAGCTGGCGCTGTGCCATATCCCTTAACACGCACAGCGGGTCACCCCTGAGTCATTGCCCAGTCGGTGTAGACCTGAATTGAGGTCCCATGCCAGCATCCAAGTCTATGAGCACCTGAAAGGCACATCCTTGATTCTGAATGCCATTGAACGGGAATTCTACTTCTAGCAAATTCACCAGCCTCCTCATTTCAGGGTGAGCTGACACTCCCCACCTGCTAGCATTTGGGTTTGAGAGGTAGTTCCTACGCCCATCCTCAATGACTGCGCAGCATGAAGTGCTGCTCAGATTGTTCCTGGCCCCCAGGTGCTGGCCAGCTAGTGCAGCGGAAAGGATCAAGGTCCAGCACCAGGAGGGATGGCCTTTGCTCTGCTTCTTCCTCAGGTGGAGAATTCATCATTTGCTGGACAGTCTTTTACTACCACCAACTTACTCTGAAGGTGGCCAACATGAGACTTACAGGCATGTGTGGGCTGAGGCTCCAAGTGGATTTCATCTTGCTCTGAAAAATAAGAGGTTAAAGTCTCCAGGGGTCTTAAGACATTTAACATGGGAGATGCTTCTATGTACCCCCTCCCGCCCTAGCATGTCCCTCCTGCTCTAGGTCTTAGCACTTCTAACGCACTATGCAATTTATTTAATATGCTAATAATCTGTTTCTCCTTGAAGGAAATCTCAGTGATGACCGAGGTCTCTGTATTTTGTTCGTGTAGCCCAAGTGCCTAGAGCTGTGTGTCTGGCACAGGGTAGGTGCTCAATAAATAGCAGTTAAATGAATGCGTGTGTATGTCTTGCCCTTATTGTTACAGAGGGAGACAGGGAGGCCCAAAGAAGGCAGGCGTCCAGCATCCTCAGAGGTGGGAATCTAGTCTGAATCTCTGTTGACCTTTAGTCCACCTTGATTTGGGTCCAGGGGGCTCCTTGGGCCCCAACCCCAGGCTTTCTAGGGTACAGGATTCCTGGGGTCATGTGCCTAGTCCCCTGCCTTCCTACCTCAGTCCTCCCAGGTGTGTGCTTTTTAAAAAAAAATTTTTATTGTTATGTTAATCACCATACATTACATCATTAGTTTTTTGTGTGCTTTTTTTTTTTTTTTAAAGATTTTATTTATTTATTTGAGAGAGAGAGGAGAGAGCATGCAGGGGGGAGGGGCAGAGGAAGAGGAAGAAGCAGATTCTCCACTGAGAAGGGAGTCCAACTCGGGGCTCGATCCCAGGACCCCAAGATCATGACCTGAGCTGAAGGCAGACGTCCCACTGACTGGGCCGCCCAGGTGTGCACTTTTGGTTATGCATCTCCAAACCTCTCCACATAGCGCATTACAAGGATTAAGGAGAGCTCATCCTAGTGCTGAGGACTCTCCAGCTGACAGCTCGATGACCTCTGAGGGACAACAAAGAGTGTGACAGAAGCCAGACTCACCATTAAGGATGGCGAGAGAGGGGGAAGCTAAGCTGACCAGCAGCAGGATGGGGAAGCATTTCATGGTGGAGCTGTAGCAGGATCTGTCTGCCCTGAGGAGGCTGCTTAGCGTTGCTGAGGGAGCAGCCTGGCAGGGCCTTTATTTATCTTGGGCGTAGGGAAGGGCTCTGGGGAACCTGGTTCAGGATTGGATCTGGGGGCATTCCAGGTTTCCCCTCCCAAGTTCCCTATTCTGAATACATTTGTTTTTGGGAACTGGGTCTTCTGGGAAACCAGTTAAGAGGAAAGTGAGGCCCCTAGCATTCCCCTGGCTTGGGCCATGCCAAAGGTATGCCAGCCCCAGGCTCCATCTCGGGAAGTCCTTGCAATAACTACATGGGTGTGAGTTTCTCTCCGTCATGGTACTCATTGTTGGTATAATTTTCTTTTTATTTGTGTGATCATTTAATTAATATCTACCTACCCCAGGAGAATGGAACTTCCATAATGGTGGGATTAGGTTTTTGCTTGCCATTATTTTCCCAGCACCTAGAAAGGAGATGGTGCATAGAAAGCGCCCAGAATATAGTAGTAGGGAGAATGAACGAAGGAAAGGTTAGGCTGTCCTCTAGGCTACAGATAAAACTTTCCCAGGGCGCCTGGGTGGCTCAGTCGGTTAAGCGTCTGCCTTCAGCTCAGATCATGATCCCGGAGTCCTGGGATCGAGTCCTGCATTGGGCTCCCGGCTCAGTGAGGAGCCTGCTTCTCCCTCTGACCCTCCCCCCTCTCATGTGCTCTCTCTCTCTGTCTCATTCTCGCTCTCTCAAATAAATAAATAAATAAGTCTTTAAAAACAAAACAAAGAAAAACAACAAAAAAAACTTCTTGTCAGCTCAGGAATGAAAGAGTGAGGCAGTTACAGGAATGCTGACTACACGCCAGGCACCATCCTGAGTTTGTTCATGTGGGATATTTTATTTAATTCATCATGGTTGGGAAGTATGGGTTATTTATCAAGCAGAGAAAGTGATGTTCACAGAGGTGAGGTGACTTGCGCAGGATCACAAATCTGGGTGGTTTTGAACCCAGGTTAGTCAAACTCCAAACTCTATGCAAGCCACAAGCAGGGTCTGGTGGCTCCAGAAGTGGGTGAGATGGAGCAGTGAGTTAGTTGCCCAAAGGGGCACATGAGAGGCAGTGGGGGATGCACCTAGGACCTGGGGCTGATCCTGGACCTAGGGCTGAGTTAGCTGATCTCCTGTGCCCCTATCAGGTTGGAATTTTTTTCTTTTAAGTTTTTATTTAAGTTCCAGTTAGTTACCATACAGTGTAATGTAAGTTTCAGGTGTACAATACAGTGATTCAACACCTCCATACATCACCTGGTGCTCATCACAAGTGCACTCCTTCATCCCCATCCCCTATTTCACCCATCCCCCCACTCCCCTCCCCTCTGGTGACCAGCAGTTTGTTCTCTATAGTTCAGAGTTTGTTTCTTGGGGAATGTGTGGGTGGCTCATTTGGTTAAGCATCTTGATTTCCGCTCAGGTCCTGATCTCAGCCCCACATCAGGCTCCGCGCTCAGCAGGGAGTCTGCTTCTCTGCTTCTCCCTCTCCCACGGCTCCTCCCCCTGCTCACATGCAAGCTCGCCCTCTCAAATAAATAAATAAAATACATCTTTAAAAAAAAGAGTCTGTTTCTTGGTTTGCCTCTCTCTCTCTTTTTTTCCCCCTTTGCTTGTTTTGTTTCTTAAATTCCACACATGAGTAAAATCGTATGGTATTTGTCTTTCTCTGACTTATTTCGCGTAGCCTAATACCCTCTAGCTCCATCCATGTTGTTGCAAACGGCAAGATTTCATTCTTCTCTGTGGCTAATATTCCATTGTAGATGTACATCATATCTTCTTTATCCATTCATCAGTGGAGGGACACTTGGGCTGTTTCCAAAACTTGGCTATTGTTGATAATGTTCTGTAAACATCGGGGTGCATGTGTCCCTTTGAATTAGTATTTTTGTACTCTTTGGGTAAATATCAGGTTGGAATTTTTGATGATCTCTCCGGGACATGTTTTTGGATCCTCTCCAGGAAGGAGGGTGCTGCTGCACCCCTAGACTGAACCTCTTGTCCTCAGCAGGGAGCACAGCTTGCTGGGCACGGGGCCCCAGTGAGGGTAAGACCCCACCTGTAGCCCACAGAGAGACAGCACTCTGTCACCAAGGGGAGGCCTTCTCCCTCGGGTAGCCGCCGCAGGGAAGAGCCTAGGGGTTGGCGGTCATCCTCCAATTGCTCCCACCCCTCTCTCTCCTTAGGCAAGCGCGTGAATTGGGCCGCCTCCCACCTTCCCTTCCTCCCCAATTCCCCCTCTCAGCGGCAGCCTCCCCTCCCACCGCCCAGGGCACTTAGGAACAGGGCGGGGACAGATGGGGGCATTCACAGTGAGTCCTTGAGGACGTGGTTTAGCCCTGCAGGCCTATTTCCCAATACCCCCAGTAACCCACAAGTTTGGGCCTCCGTCATTTGCATACTAGGTTACTTCAGTAGTTACTCACTGGACTCCGGCCTCCAGTCTGTCTCCACTGCTGTCCACCCTCCATGCTAATGCTGGGGGGATCTTCTGACATGCAGGCCATGGCTCGCCTCAAAAAGTCTTTAAGGACTTTTTGGATTTTAGGATTACCCCTGGGATAAAGTCCAACCCCTCGGCCATGTGTTCCAGGCTTACCTTTCCGGCCTCATCTCTCGCCCCATGAATGACTCGCTGAAGTGCTCTGTGTGTTCATGCTGTTCCTGGCTCGGGAAGCCTCTTTCCTCTCTGTTTGCTGCCTTCCCATGATCCACATCCGCTGTCACCTCCTCCCTGGAGTGAACCCAACCTGCTCACCCTTGCGCCTCCCTCAGTTGGTCACCTCACCTCTGTGGCCCCGCAATACACTGTTCCTATCTCCATCTTTTCATTTTTCCATTCCGCTGCTATTTATCGAGGGCCTGCCAGGTTGCAAGTTTTGAAGATAAAACGGTGAGCCCAATCTACCTGGCGCTGGCCTCCGGGGACATTGTCTAGCATTTATCATACGCTATTGTAATTCTCTGTTCAGACCTATTGCTCCTACTGGTTAATTACCATCTTGAGGACAAGACTCATGGGTTATTTATCTCTGTATTCCAATTTATTTAGCGCAGATCTTCACACTAGCCAAGTGCTCCAGTCTAGTAAATTGAATGAGTCCATTCATGTGTTCAAAGCTGGCCCCTCGGGGATATATTTACTTTTAGTGGGGAGGGAGGGACCTCTGAGAGGAGTTCTTCAGTGATTAAATATTTCAAAAGAATGTATTGAGTGTCTACCACATACCAGGCATGAACCAGGTCGTGGAGCTTCAACACTGGGCAAAACAGACCTCGTGCCGGCTCTCCCAGGTAGGGTTCCCAGATAAAAATGCAAGCCACTCGGTTACATGTGATTTTTAGATAAGCAGTGAATAATTTTTTTTAGCCTAAGTATGTCTCAAATATTGCATGGTACATACTTATACTAAAAATTTGCTGTTGTTTATCTGAAATTCACATTTAACTGGTGTTCTGTATTTTATTTGCTAGATATGGCAATCTTACCTCAGGGCTCCAGACCAGCCTCCAGCCTCCACCATCTGTCCCTCCGAGAGCCCAGCCTCATCCTGTGTTCTCAGTTAAGGATTCTGGCATAGGGGAAAGATGGATGACAGAGGTGTCCAAGGGCCATGCATGTAGCTCCCCTCTGAGAAGAGAGGTCACAACGGTTCTCTGCACACAAGTTCCAGACCTTGGGCAGACGGTCCTGTTACTCTGGCCACTCCCGTTTGGTGAGGAAGTCAGGGTCTTATCTGGAGGTAATCACCAACAGGCTGGGCGGAAGGAAGCCCAGTGGCTTCTGTGGAGGCCTGGGGGAGAGACCTATTCATTTCTGGTCCTCCCTATTGGATGGTTCCAAATAAGTCAACGAGCTGCCTCTCAGTGAATTTGGAAGGTGAGACGGAGAGGAGGAAAACTCACCAAGATGTAAAAACAATAGATGCAGAGGAGAGGCGGACAGAGATGCCAAAGAGACAGAGAGAAGTCAGCTTGGGGGGCCTGAAGTTATGGCAAGATGGCTGCTGCCGGAGCACCCCATGAGGCCTGCCGAGATGCTTTCCTGATCTTCCTTTCTTCCCCCTCCTCACGTCACTGGCTGTAACCTGAGTGAGCCTTATAAACCTGAAAAAGCCTATTTCATTAAAAAACCATTAACTTTTCGTTAGGACACCTGCCTCCAAGTTCCAGTCTGTCATCACCTGACTGTGGGCCTTCAGCAACTGCTCTGCTCTCTGGACCTCATTCTCCTCAACAAAGAGAAGAAAGGCCCACAGGGGTGTCTGAGGATCGCCAGGATGGTCATTAAAAGAGGGGGTACAGCATCGGGCTGGTTAGTCTTGAACCTCAGGGTACCCCAGAGTCAGCTGGGAAACTCCCTCCCCCTCCGCTTAGCAGGTCTGGGATGCAGTCCAGGAATCCGCATTTTGAAACCAGTGTCCCGGGCAATTCTGATGCAGAGGTGTCGAGGAACACACTCCCTTTGGCTGACAGAATGGATTCTAGACCAAAGCTCAAATTTTTCTTTCTGAGAAGGATTTTGGGAGGCAGGGGGTCTTGTTTTGAGTGTGTGTGTGTGTGTGTGTGTGTGTGTGTGATTCCTGTGGTGGTTGCTGGCCTGAGTGTTGCAGGGTGGAGAGAAGGAGGAGGAGACTCACGTTCTGTGAGATCTGACCTTGAGCCGGGCACACAATGGATTGAATTCTCCCACTGATCTGCAGGGTGGCATGGAGGGCACACGGGGATCCTGAGGCTCAGAGAAGTTAAGCAGATTTGGCAAGGTGCTAGAGATGTCACCTGGCATGACTGGGATTTGAATCTGGATCTGTTTGGCTCTGATTTCCGTGCTCTTCCCACCGTGGCTCACCGTCCCTACGAAGCCTCACAGGACAGCAACCATCAGCCCTTGCTTTCCCAGTGGGGGTCCGTTTTACATATTCTGTGCCGTTTCTCACACATCCATGGACTATCCTGG